GGGGGGGGGGGACGCGGGACGCGGGGTTGAGAGGTTCTTCCCTGTAAGGGGTGGTGGGTGGGGGTACTCATGTTTTGTACCACCGCCTTAGTTGTTAGATGATTCACCACATGTCCTCGAGAGGACGGAGCATTTTTGCCACAGGACCGATCACTGATGGCCAGGGGGGCAATGGCCAGGGAGGGGGGAGTATTATAGAAGGGACAAGCAGGCCGTCTTCCGGTGCCTGTCCAAAGGCTAAGGCCCACGCCGGGGTGAGACACCAGACGTGTCAACGTCACAGCTGCAGACCACCGGATGGACCGATTTGGAATTTAAGACGCGGGTGTACATAAACGGCCGGAGCAAGAATTTAATGCCACGTAATTTTTGCAAGTTTTCTAATCTTTTCCGGGGGCGAAACAACCGTGCTAGTTTCCGCCCCAGCTGCAGGGGCGTCTGGGGAAGGAAAGCGGTGAAATCACAAACATCGGCATGGTACCACAAGGCACCTACTGCTGGAGAGACATCGCCGCCGGTGAAGTTCCGACCTCTCGACCCGTCGGGCACCACAGTCACTGCAACTCCTCAAGCGTCCCCCTGAAAGCTCTCGACCCGTCGGGCACCACAGCCACTGCAACTCCTCAAGCGTCCAACTCACCTGGACCCCCTGCCCGAGCTCCTTGACGAACTCCAGCTCGTCGAACGGGACCTCCGCCACGTTATCCTTGACCTCCTCCATGACGGTGTCGAGCTCGCCGTTGCTGTCGCAGAGCAACGCCCGCGGGGTAGCCCCAAGCTCCGCCACCTCGATGCCGAAGGAGAGATGCGTCACCCTCCTGCCCTCGATTATTTTCGCCCCACACTGCACCCGCCCGGGCGGGGTGCCCGGGATACACGCGGCCCTGAACGTGGCGCCTGTGGTCTCGCCGGCCCACGTGAAGTCGCTCACGGACAGCCGTTCGACGGATGCGGGACCGTTGCTGGAGTCCACGGGCTGCAGCATCTTGAAGGAATGCTCTGGTAAGTTCTGTTTCGCAGAGGGGGCACACGGTGGGGACGGGGAGGGGGGGTTTAACAAGAGAACGCTCGCCGAACACGGTGCTGAGACAGACCACAACGACACCATGGCTCAAAGCCCACGTCCACGCATGCACGGTGCAAGAACGCCACAGCGTTCTTCCTGTGCACGCCTGCACTGCACAATGCACATCATAGGAACAAGCCCTCGGCACTTGTAACGCCCTTAGTCTAGCTCCATGATCCACATAACCTGCTCCTGTTGGACCGTGAAAACTAGGAACATTTCTCCCGAATTCATCCCAACCCTACACCCCCTCGTCCGACATTGCGCGAACACAATCGTCAGACCTTCTTCAATTCCTCATTCCCGCCCCCCCTTCAGTTTGTCTGTCTCTCTGTCTCTCTGTCTTTCTGTCTCTCTGCGCCTCCAACCTGCCGACTCTTACCAGCTCAACAGTCATCCGGGTCCCTTTGGAGACCATCATGCCCCCAGGCCTCCCCGCCTCGGCGGCTCCCTCCGCCATCGCCTCGCGCACGGCGGCCTCTCTAGCCGCCCGGAGGAACGCCTTGACAGTCAGGTCGAACGCTATTCCGGGGGTCACGGCAGACGGCGCAAAGCACGAGAAAATCACGGGGTCTCTCGGGGGGGGCGCAAACCACGAAGACACAACGGGATCCCCCCCGGGCGGCATCACCCCCCGCGTGGAGTGGTCGACCGGCGTATCCCCGTTCATCACCGAAGCTGTCGTGCTTCGTGACGATGCCGTCGTGCTTTGGGCAAGCAGCCGGGGCGCAGACCGGCCGTCGCCGGGGATGGCTTCCGACGGCCCCAGGTGTCCTCGAGGCCGAACCACCGGGTACACAGGCCTCCCTCCATTCCGTACTTCCAGCGAGTCTTGAGGCATTGCGGAGTAGGCGGACGGGAACGAATCATCCTCGTCCCCATCTTCCATGCTGCGGACTTCGGCTCTTTCCGTGGGGGAGTAGGAACCGCGAGGCGCCATTTCTGTGCCAAGAGCCCTTCCTGTGTCGTAAGCAACCTCCGTGTCGGACCCAGCAGCTGCGAAGGACCGATAACCTCCAATGGAGCGGGAGTGCTCTCTTGCGGGGGAATCACGCCTCCGCGTCAGCTCCCCCACGGCAGCTAGAGCCGCGTCCATTCTTCGAGCTGACGCCGCCGCCTCCGCCTCCGCCACCGCTCCTCTCCTGTCAGGCAAACGTGGCGCCCCCTCGAGGGGTTGCGAGTTGGACGACATCCACTCGGGCTCGCGCAACTCCGGTGCCTCCGGTGGCGGGCGAATGAACTCCGTTGGGGGTAAAGAACCCCGCAGTCGGAGAGCGTCGGAGTACGTCGGCGGAGGAGTGAGAGGGGGCGGCGGTGCCAGCGTCGACTCTCCCCTTGTCCTTGATGAGTCTACCGATGACCGTGCGGGGGGAGATCGTGGTCCGCTCGTGCCTCGGCCGCGAGCAGGACGCACTGCACCGGTGGTGAGAGTTGCCGTTCTGGTGCCGTAAACCCGTCCCCCGGGGCCGCGCGGCAGCGGCACTGGCAGCGGCGGCGGCGGCGGCGGAGGCGCAGCCCCAGATGGCGCAGCCCCCGCCGGCGGCGCAGCCACGAACTGCGGCCGCAACAGCGGCGCCGGCGCCGCAGCCCCCCGCATGGCCGGCGCCCGCACCTCGCGCATGCTCTTGTTTTTTTTTTTGCGCAAAGAGATTTTCCCGGCTGCGGCCAACTTCCCGAGCGCTTTCTTCGCTCCCGACGGCGCTCCCTTTCCCTCCTCCCTCCCCTCCTCCTTCTCTTCCGCAAGTGGCGCGGACGCGGTGGAGGGCACCGCTGCCAACCTCCTGCGACTTGGTTGGAGTTCGCTCTCCGAAGTCGAGGAAGAGGCCGCGGCGGATGACCCCCTGCTGCCGCTGCTAGACCCCCTTAGCTTGGCGAATGAAAACATTCTCTTACGGGAAACCGGGATGGTAGAAGCAACCACGGGTGGGGCAGCAGCAGTGGCTTCGGCGTAAGGCTCAACGTCTTCCCCGGATCGCCGCTCCGTCTTGACCTCTTCCATTCGCTCCTCCGTTTCCCGCCTCTCCTTAGCCCAGGAGCCCCCGTCGCTGCTCGGGCGCTTGTACGCCGCCCGAAAACCTTCTTCCCTCTTCACCTGTTGCTGCTGGCCCGCTCCCGGTGCCCGGCCCTCTTCCTCTTCTTCTTCTTCCAGCTCGCGGCTCATGTCCAGCAGGGGGGACGGCACGTGCGTTCCCACCGGGGAACGGAGGCCAGACGGCGCGTACGATCCCACCGGGGAACGGAGCCGCCCGTCCGCCGCCGGCGGAAACCGCTCCGACTCTGACCCATCCAACGACGCTCCTCTCACGACAGGCGCCTCCCCGACAGAAGGCATGTCTGCCGCCCCAAGCGAGAACCGCCAGCTCCCGTCCCGGCTACTGTGGGTGCTGGACTCCCTCTGCACAAAGCCCGCGGACTGGTGCCGTCGCAGGGAGACGGGGACGCGCGGAGCGCTCGGCACTGTCATCGAAGAGTGTCTGCCGCGCGCCCCCGGCGGAGCAGGCTCGAAGGGAAACGCCGGCTCCGCGATGGCGGTCGGCATGCCACTCCCCGCCGACGACGCTCCCCAAGAGGGTGTGCGGTCGATGGGCGCACCGCTGGCGGCGGCGCCATCCCCGACCCGAGCGTCCCCGTACACGCCCGGCGACCCGGCCGCGCTACCGTAACCGATACTCCCGGAGGATGCGCTTAAGCCGCTGAAGGAGCCGCCAGCTGTGGCCATCTGAGAGGGTGGTGCGTGACCGACCCAACCACCCCAGCCGCTCCCCCCATCACCAGCGGGGTAAGCAAAACCACCGGCAGCGCCCCGCCTGCCGCCCCGCCTGCCCCGGCCACCGCCCGGGTAAAAATCACTTCGGCCACCCCAGCCGCCCCGCCCACCGCGGCCGCCGCCGCCGCCAACGGGCCCCCCGCGGAACCCCCCCCCGCCGGCGGGCTTGTCCATGCCGGCGAACGGTGGCAGCCGGGTGTCGCGCTGCGTTCCTCCCTCCACGTGGACGCTCAGCTGGGCGTAGAACGTGGGGGCGGTCGGGATGGAGGACGCGTGGCGCCACTCGTTGGGCAGCTCGCTGACGGCCGCGCCCTCGAAGCGGCCGTCGGGGACCAGGCTCCACCCCCCGAGGTAGTTGGTCTGCTGGACGACTGCTATCAGCGGGAAGCTCGTGTCGTGCACCGTGATGTCCAGCGTCTCCAGCCACTCGACCGAGCCATCCGGGTTCGCCGGCTTGGGTACCGTTTCTGCCGGCGATCGCCCCTCTGTTCCCGCCCGGAATTTCACCCGAAAAAGGCCCGGCGTCCCCTGCGCTGCCGGGGGCAGGTTCTCCACCCGCACCTGTTTGGTAGGGACAAGGACCAAAACGTGGTACATCATCTACTACTTCGAAGTATAATTTAGTTGTTACGTTGCAAAGTGGCATGATGGACGTGTGTATTTGCAGCGGCGGGCGGCACCAGTTGCGTGCGTGGGAAACGGGCGATGCGCTGGCGGCACATACGGGACGGGGGTCGTGTCTTCTAGCGGTGCGCAAGCACCCTCCAGCAGGAGTTGTGTCTCGTCGGTACGCTAGGGTTACGGCGGTGTGTGGACCACGCCGACAATAGTATGCATAATAGCAAAAGAAAGCACGCAGAAGTTCGGTCTTCGATGGCCAGGGAAATTTCTTGTAATGTTCTACCAACGCTTGCAAGAGCTCCGCTCACCGCTGTTGTTGGCGTACACATATATTTTTCGGAACGGACGGTGGTGTGTGTGACGCAAGCAGATGGACCACATCTATCCACCGGGTCTCTCGGGGAAAGCATCTACTCATAGGACCACCCACCACCGTATTACGTAAGGGAGTAAGCACTCGGCTATGGGACGCTACGACTGCCGGTGCTCTTGGCCGTGATTTCTTAAAACATTATGTATCCCACCAAAAAAAAACCAACATGTGCCGTAAGTAAGGCACCTGACGCCTGCATTATGAACGCCATCTATCTTTGTGCTCTGTGCCAAAGCATCACACACAGCGGTTGTGCAACTTTCGTCGTTGTGCTCCAACCCCCAACCACTGCTATCTGAGGCGACTTCGCTAACTTGCAGCCGGTAGGTGCTCGTGGCCTTGATGTAGTTCTTGACAGTGCAACAGGCACCTTTGGCACCTTTGTATGTACCGAGAGAGCTGTTGCTTTCCGAGAAAATGCGGGATTGCCGACAGCAGCAGAAGACAGAACAAGCAAGCCGACCGCGGCAGGAAGGGGTACGCGACCACGCACATCTGAGGGCAACAGCCCGAACAGCCAACAATCGGCGGTATGTACGTTGAGCTAATGGTGCCATGCATCATCCCTCCTTCAGATGTCCCGGCCTACCAACTCGGCCAGCACGCACCTTGTTGATGAAGATGATCGCAGGCATGATGGTTGATCAATGTCTCCGGCCGATCAGCCCGGCAGTTTCTCAACAGCAGGCGAGAGAGCTTCCGACGGCGAAGGCCAGCCTCCTTCTCTGCGAAACGAGTGTATCAGCAGGGCAAGCGAGAGAGGCGTCAAACCCTATCTGTCCTAGAAACAGGTTTCCGCGCACTTCATGCCGTCGGCGAAGCCAAGGCGGGAGTAGACCACCTGCTACAGCATCGCAAACGTTGAGAGTGCCGCCCAAAGCAGAAGGCGGATAACACGCATGTCTGTCTGTCGGGCATGTTGGAGTTGGTGAGCGACACCGCTGCTGCGGAAACAGGCTTGCTGCAGAACAATGAGTCGGAGTTGTTGAACCACGGGCGGATTGACGCCGGGCCCGTCATGCCGCCAGAGGTCACGCGAGGTGGTCGCGCGGAGACTCCACCGAAAGCTGTCATGGCAAGGCCACGAAGGTGTGCGACAACACACAATGAAGGATGGATTTTTGGCAACAGAACAGGACAGCCCGCATCCCGTCAGACTTTTGACTTTTCAACTCTAGGACTCTGGGCCTAACGCACCGATGATGTGCCCTGGTCGGTCGGACGGGGAACCGAGAGCACCAGACGTAGTGCTCACCACACCTCTATCCCCTCCGATCTTCGAGCTTCACAGCGACCCTTGGGGAGCCGCCGCCGCTGCTGTTACTGCCTCCACTGCTGTTGATGCTGAAGGTTGAGTGAGAGAGCGGGATGGAACCATGAACTGCACGGTGTGTACTCCTGTCGTGTCAAACAAAACAAACATGCCGCGCGGGACGTTGCATGTTCACATGGGGGATCCGCAGACCGCGCTAAAAACCGAGAGAGGCATTCGCCGAAGAAAATGTCGTCCACCTGTAGTCTACTGTGCTGCTGTGCTGCTACGGAGAGCGGCGGGTGCGTGTCACATGCATGTATGTGACGCACACACATCCGACCTTTGCACTGCTGCGACACTTATTCAGTACCAAGTTCTCGGCGCACCGCAGCGTGGTCTCTAAGTGTGTATGTAGCCGACAGAGTGTTGGTGACGTTGACTCTACGCTAGCTAGCTGTTGATTGTTCACATCTTATCCATACACTCTACATCATGTAGACTGCAGGTACCGGACTCTACTGTAGACTGCACCCTAACGTTACGTCGCACGAGAATCTACAGTTGTATACCGAAACCTGGACCGATCTTCAAAGCTGAACTACTCTTGCAGAAAAACAGTGGCGGTACCGAAAATGGAATGGCGCCGGTGGAACTGTCTCTCGTGAATGAAGCTTCCGAAAACGTTTAATTTGATTTTGACATCCTCGCTGTAGTGGTGGGAGTACTGCTGCTGTAGTCGATGCAAGCTTTGAAAAGTCCAGCAGCAGGTATGGTATCTTGCGCCACCTACTGGTATGTACGGCAGGGTACTAGGTCCGTCCGGGGTGTTCGTTTTGATGTAGCACGTTGGAGTGGATAGCAACAGGCACAGATGACGTGCCGGCCTAGGCCCATTTTTTTTTCTCTAACTCCCTCGCCTAAAATACTCGCTACCGAGCCTCTGTGAAAGTGTCCCCCTACAGAGAGTACCCCCTCCCTCTCTTCGCTGTCGGTATAGCAGTTGCACAAAATTGTATGAGGGACACGAACCAATACTGTACCATCACCGCTCTACACACACCGTGATACAATACTGTAGTAGTGAGCGAGAGACGGACGGACGAACGGGGAGAGGGAGGGCAGACTCATCCTGTTCGCTAAGACGACGACGACGACGGGAGTTCAGACGGGTATGGCTTCGCGCACCCTTAGCTGAAAATATACTCCATGTTGTTGCCGTGTGGGAAGCCCTGTCAGCTTCTTCGTGTATCATGTCGGGGGGAGAATCACGCCGTGCGCATATATATGTAGGTAGGCTTTGCGAAACGCAATAAGAGTGCCACCGACGACGCGGGCACGCGGTGGTTCCGGATGACATGCGTTTCTTCCACAGGACAAAGGCTCTCAGAGCAGTGAGAAAGCCGTGCAACCCTGAGGGCTCTTAGTTCTTGGTGGTATTTTCCTAGCGAAGGGGAAGGAGGGAGAGCGTTTAGACGACGAGAACCGAGAGCGAGTCTATTTCTTGTAAGAACGTCTTCGCCCGAGGGGAGAGAACGAAAAGACGAAATATAAGCAGTGTGCTGGTTGCTCTTGCAATGGTGTTGGCCACGTGGAAAGTTTGTCGAGCCACACCGTGAACACCAGTTATGTCGACGTCCATGTGGTTGCTCTTCCAATCGTGGTCACCGTATGTATGTATGGAAGAAAAAATGTCGAGTCACATCCATCAGTAGTAGCAGCGATGTCGATGTCCGTGAGACAAACGTGTATCAACCTCGTTGAGCTCCAAAACACGGCTCAATCATCGGATAGGCACCTCCGTCGCGGTTGACGTTTCACACAAGTCATTCCCCGTTGAGGGACAAAGCAGGTGACCGTTACAAGGACCATAGACTTAAACTTCCCCGTGTAAAGGCAACGAACCACAGTTCTCCTCTGTGTAGTCTTCACCACACATTGGCGCAGAAAAGCTGCGGCAGACCAAGAGCCTTCCAGCTCTGTATCGAACTCATGGCGAGGCAACCATGTAGCGCCCGTCAACGCGTGAGGTTTCACAAATGGTAAGACACACAAGTCGCGCACAAGTTCGGTCCAGAGGGAAACAGGCGCACGATTTGATGCCTCAACACAGCGTAGGGGGTCCGACAGCAGTTACTTCTACTTGTTGTTTCGAAAACCCCTTTTAGGCAGCAAGTCGACGGTCGATGAACCCACGCATTCACCCGGAACGAGAGTTTGTGAGACATCCCACTCGGTGGGTAATAGCCAAAATGCCTCGCGTACTTTGAGCAGCATTTTGCCGACCAACAGTCGCGGGAGACAGCGAGGTCTCGCATGCTAGGCAGCGACGAGGTTCATCAGCACATCACAAACAGCGCCAAGACATGAATCGAAACTGACGGTACAAGTGAAATCGTGTACGCCATTGGTGCACAGTCTACGCACAAGCTGTGCACAATAGAAGAGATCCATCCAATGCGACACGGACAGATGCTTTTCGTTCGAAAGTGCGCTCTTTTCCTCCCTCATCATTTGTAGTCTACACATCCTGCGACGAACGCAAGCGGGCGACCTCCTAACGGTGAATAGTCCCGCATACAGGAGAGCCAACGATTAGGGGAAGGCCCAAAACTCAGGACGAGATGATTCTTTTGAGTCAGCTACCACCGTTTGAGAGAGCCTGCATACAAACATGAACGTACATCCTTGCGCCCTAGGGGTAAACGATAGCTCTACCGTAACGCCAACCGTCGAAACAACAAAGCAGCATCCTTGCCTTGTCCCAAAGGTGAACGACCAGTTCGTCGGAGGCATGCTACGTGTGCTGTACAAGTAAATTCACGACAAAAACTCGAGCTCCATCGTACAGCCAAGCACACAATGCCCCAGACGACTACCGAGCTACCGGTCACCCCTTGCCAAGGTCGAACAGCGACGCACGCCGGTCGACGCTCCCGCTCCCCGCCGCACCTCCCGCCGTCAGGTCTCCTATCCTTTGATCCATACAAAAAATGGGCAAAAGCTCCGCCTCTCCTTCCCCCAACGCGAGCTACTCCTCGTCACCGTCCGCCCCGGCTCCGGGCGGCTTCAGTCTCCCGAAGGTCTTATCTTGGATGATTTCTAGGTACTTGGTGGTAAGGTGCTTGCAGTTGACGTAGTGGTTCACCCCTTCCTTGCGGTAGCAGGCGATAACCTCCTGCCGCAGCAGCTTGACGCGCTCTTTCGCGATCAGGTGTTCCCGCATAAACTGCTCCCTGGAGTTTGCCCATGCGACCGGGTCGCTGCGGTCGCTCTTGGGAACGTGCGGGTACGGCTGCAACGTCGCGTCCGACAACCTTGCCCCCAGCTTAGCCTCGTCCGCCATGATGCTGTCTGTGTTGCGTCCCTTGCTAGATAGCACAAGCAGCAGCGCCGCTTGTTGCGCTCGATGCGTTGACGGGGCCTCTCCGCCGACTTGAGAGAGTCTGCAAGTTGGCGGCTCGAGCTTCTAACACCAACTTTCTCTGCCTGTCCAGTTGTAGCGTCCAGCGCTCGTGGACGATGTTGCTGAGTCTCGCAGCTGCACACCGGTTGTAGCCTACGCACGCAGTGCCCTGCTGAGTGTGCAATGTGTGTGCGGCGTGAGGCACGAACATGCACCACGGCGCCCCCAATAGTACCCCCCCCCCTCCCGCCGGCCCTTCTACTCCAGAGGGAGAGCGCCAGCTCGCAGCTCCCCCTGCCTGCCTCGTCCACTGCTGTCCAGTGTCGAGATTGAGAGAGAGAGAGAGAGAGAGAGAGTGCTTGATGAACATGCGGTACGCTACACGAGCTGCTGCTGCAGTAGGGGTCTTTGCGGCATCGTCGGGGTCCATCGTCAGGGAGGCCTTCCTAGCCGGACCCTTGTTCCACCCAGCGGCGGTGCGCCACGGCAGCAGCAGCAGCAGCAGCAGCAGCAGCAGCAGCAGCAGCAGCAGCAACGACGACAAGTTGACGTTCGCCTCCTCGACGGCTGCCGGCAGACCCACCACAGCCCTTCCGCCAAGATGTCGACGGAGCCATGGGCTGGTGAGGTGCGCTGCAGCCTCTCCGTTGAGACCAACGCCGACGCCGGCTGCCGCACGGCGGCGCTCAGGGCACCGCAGACCTCGCGATCCCGCCGTAACGGCCATGTCTGCCGCAGCCGACGAGGGGGATAGCAGCGTCTTGGGGCCACTGCGTCCTCTGAGCCCAACTGAAGATGGTGGCGATGTGTTCAATCCCAATCCGCTGGCGCGGAACGACCCAGAGCGCGCGAGGGTGAGTGAGCGAGTCTCCGCCGCAGCAGTATTTTCCAGGTGTACCACCCTAACCGCCGTACTCGCCTTGGACACTGCTTGTGCTGTACAGAAGGGGGCCCGATATAAGGCGGTGTGAATAAGGCGGTTGTCCGATATAAGGCGGCTGAAATTGGCGCACACAACTCAGACCCGATATAAGGCGGCACCGCCTCATATAGGCAATCTCCCTGTATAAGGCGGTAACTACCCAAGTAAAATCCGATATATGGCGGTGATCATGTTCGCATCACGACGCCCCCTCTGAAACACCTGTACCTTTGTGGCCCAAGACACCTGAAGGTCAACACAATGCCCTGGCTTAACGGAATACAACCCCTACTGTAGGCGCGCACACACTTTTTGTGTTCGGCCGCACGAAACCGTATTGTTTTACGCGGAGGAATTCGATGCGAACGAGCGCGGACACATCACTCTTTGCACACACGCCGTCGGCCCGGAGCATGCACTGAGCCAACTCTCCCAACACTTCGGCTCTCTGGAAAGGGCCGCGGGGGAGTCCAGCAATCGCGAAGCCGTTTTCCACCTTCAGAAGGCCAAAATGGCGATGATCAAAGCTCACGCGTCTAAACCCGTGCGGCAGTCGACATGAGAGAGTTCTTGTAGGCGGATAGACGGATTCTCTCAGCTGTTGTCTTTCATAGAGCAGGGTGTGCTGCAAAAGAGTGGTCGCATTTTCAGAGGTACAAGCGCCGGGGCAAGTAGTGCTTAACCCGGCCAACGTCATGGACGCAGCGAATACAAATGTTTTTCGGTGCCACGATTGCTTTCCAACTATTGCGTGCGTCCATGTTGGCTAGCTTAAGTTTTGTTCTTCACGAAGGAAAAATATTCGGTGTCCCTCGCATCAGTAGAAGTGTTGGTTTGGACACGTTATTCGTCTACTCTACCAGAGCCTTGTGCGGCGGTATTGTTGGATGCAGATGTACATTCTGCTGTACACTCCCAGCGGGGTCGTACGGCATCAGATGTACACGTACATACCGCTGCAAACAACGCTCAAACAATTGCAAGCAATCTTGCTCGTTCTACACGCGTGAATGCATGACGCGTGCCCATTTCTTCCACTCAGCGACGCGCCGTGAGGTGATGCCCAAATACGCTGAAACCTCCTTTCTTCATTTGTCTTAAATAAGGCGGTCACCGCCCTATTGGGCCAATCTCAGACCGTGTATAAGGCGGTTAACGCCTTATACACGTATAAGGCGGCTGCCCGATATAAGGCGGTTTCCTTCACCACGCACTACACCGCCTTTTATCGGGCCCCCTACTTGTCCAAAGAACTTGCTGAATGCACACAAGGTCTCCCTGCGGGACGTGGTTGTCTACCCTCCCTCAGGTGACGCAAGACCAACATGCGCATTGCCCGAAGAGGGACTGTGTGTCTTACAACGCTTGTATTTCCGCACAAAACATCGCGCACGTTGTTATTCTGCATTGGAGCCAGCTCGAGCGGACAATATTTGGCAGCGAAAACTCAGACTTCCATATGATATGTCTTTGATTGATTGATGATGGCAGATTTCCGATGAGAACCGAATTGAAGCCGAAACAACACCACAAATGGGACATGTTCAACACTGCGGCTGGATGCATGCTCTCAGTCTTGTCTGCACTTGGCCCGCTGCGAAGTGTAGTAGACGTAGGTACAGCTGTTGGACAATGCGATGATACGAAGAGTCACAGCCATGAATCATCGAATGAATGAATGAACGAATGAAAGTGGAGAAGCTAGAAGCAAATATTTCAAACCGTCGTATTTGATGGGTTTGATAAGTTTCAGAATTGGTTCGCCAGGCTTTGTCAGCGCGGAACGCGTCCCCGGGGTTTTGAGCCAGTTTTCGCAACTTTGGCCGTCAACCACACGCGCCACGGAGGCCTACCGAGCTCCGGGCACGGCGTTAAGGTAGCGACGAGCCTCCTGCGTGCCCCTGAGAAGGAACCGCGATAAAAGACTCGCTGCCGCGAGAGAAAGCAACGCCGAAGCATGAAACGTGACCAAATCTTGTATGTGCACATGTCAAAGTAACCACCCGAGGGAATCGTGCTTGACAGACGTTGGGGGGATTGTACCCTTCATGAATGGGATCTACACAGCAGTAGTAGTTGTTGCAATGTAAAGGACTAGTATTCATGTTCATGTTTCCGGTGGATGCCACCCAGAGGGTCGGGCCTAACCAGTGCCGTACGACTCTTTCCCAAGCGTAGGTGAACAACCTCATCACTATCTTGGCGGGGACACCGATGGCGGAGTGGAAGCCGGCTGTGATCGACGAGTACATGGAGAGCTTGCTCAAGAGAGGCATCTTCCGGCAGACCATGGACGAGCGGCTGGCGAAAGTGCGAAGCGGGGAGGAACGGGAGGCGCTCGCCCGAGTGGATTCCTACATGACGGGCTTTCTAGGGCACGAGTGGCGTAAGGCTTCTCGAAAGAAGGTGGGAGGAGGAGGCGGACGGGGGCGGGGCGATGTTGGTCACGGCCTTGAGTTGCTACAGCAGACTCTTTCTTTCGGCTTTTTGACAGAGTGTTCGTGCATAGCAACAAGTCATCGTCTATCAAGTGTGGCCTTATCCACGGCGTGTTGACCAATGAGCGGCAGTTGGTATGACGACCTGCACCAAAGACCGAGTCGCGTGAGAATGTTGATGATTGCTCCAGAGCCACACGGCTGCCACGCGAACCGAACACCTGGTTATGCTGGGCTCCGTTGGACGTGAGAGTGGGGGCTGTAATGTATTCGGACATACGCCCAGTTGTCGCAACACCGTGCGAGTACAAGAACAGCAGTACGGGGTCTATCTTTTTCAGCACTCGTTTGGTTCGGGTACCACCAATGGAAGCACGTTGGGAGATATGCCTTGAGTTTAGGTGTGAGACGCACATGGACCGACTGGAGATGAGTCATGCACAGAGTCTTTTCCGAAAGCGTCCATTCACAGCGTGTGCGGATACGTAAACTCTCAAGCGTCGTGAGCAGTACCACTGCTGCTGCTCAGGGTAACTGGTGCGTTCACCAGCACTCACCATAGTGCTGCGTACCTGCGTCACCAGGTTCTGGTTTTGCAACCCTATGCCAAAAGGCACGGTAGACGCTCTCATAATGCAAGATGATCGTGTGCAATTTTGGAGATAGGTTGCACGTGAGAGACCCCGCCAAACCTACGACACCACGTGCGCAGGCCTCTTGATCTTGCTTGGAGATTACCGTGGGTTACATGACGTAAGATATCACACCCCCTGGACCGATTTTCAAAGCTCAGTTACCCCACGACCAAGAGGATGCCGGAGGCAAACGATGCGTGTTCGAAAAACTCTCGACGGGACGGGTCCAACTCCGTGTTTTTCGGTATTATCACTGATTTCCCTGCCGAATAGTCAAGCTTTGAAAATCGGTCCAGGGGGTGTGATATCTTACGCAACCTACGCTACTGGTCGCCGGGAAGAGCGTAACTGGGGCCACTATGCCATTCGTCACTTTTTGTGCTGACGTGGCAATCCCTCAACGTTTGCTGTACAGCCCGCCCGCTCAATGTGTTTCTTCTTCCTGCTGGTTGGTATCCCCAGGTGTCGGTAATTTTAAGTGCGGCGGCGGAAGGCCCGATGGAGCTGGATGACTGCGTCCAGACTCTGGGCAAGGCGGATCTTCTCGACAGCGACCTTACGGAATACGTGGCCAGCTTGATCACAGCTGAGGTGAGCCGCGCCGTCGACGCAGGATCATCAGCAGTTCTACCGCATTTAGGTTTGACTTCGTCCGATGTCACGAGCAGGTCTTTGGTCTTGCTGTGGTGTACCGTGCACCGTCATGCTCTGTGATGCAGTAGAACTTGCAGCCGGCGATGCTGCAGGGAAAAATCAACCAGACGTGAGAGGAAAGTGGTTCATGCGCGCTGTGGCAACAGCGAAGACAAGAGTTCTGTGCATGACACACTTGAGCGCGATGTAGATGCTCAGTCTATTGCAGCTTTGCGTTTGCGTGGTCAACAAACGCCAACGGTCTACGCTGCTTGCTCTGCCGTGATGCAGGAGCGAAAATGCGTGAAGTCGGTGCTGCTGAAGGTCCTCAAAACTGTTCGGGATCGGATCCAGGCCGAATTGAGAATGGGGTGAGTGGGTGTAAACAATCGATGTCGTCTTTACGAACGGCGAATTTGCATGGGTTGTCGCTTTGCGGGCGGGATACCGTGCAGGACACTCGTCGCCATTTATTATTGCGCCTCGTGTTCTGTTCATGTCGAATTTGGGTTGAGCGCCAGCATAAGAACATTTCATGGTGTGTGGAAGCAAGACGCCAGCCCGCCAGTGTGCGCGAACGTGAAACAATGTCTGGTGTCGTTGCGGCCGTTTCCCTGAGCAGTAGTGTAGCAGCGAAGATGTTGACGAAAGATGGCGAAATTTTTTCTAACAGCAGCGGCTAGGCAGTGGAATCTATTTGGGCGACACTTGGATACACCCCTTAAGCTCTCCCATCTGCTTGGTGGTCTCAAGTAGGATACCCTCGTGGGCATGTCCCAGGGCGTGATGAAGCTTTGTTGTTGATGTTACGCTGCACCCTGGGACATCCAACACCAACATGAGCTTTCATCACGCCCTGGGACATGCCCACGAGGGTATCCTACGTTAGGCCGCCAAGCAAATGGGAGTGGTAGTGCCGTGCTTGTCAAGGTCAAGGACGAGGATCTCCACTAAAGGGCCACAGTCTTGTACCTCGCACCTCCTTGGGTGTATGCTTGGGCCTGAACTGTCCCATAGAATCGCGGGCGTACACTATTGAGCTGACCCCCCAGGTGGGATAGCGTATTTGGCCGCGGCATTTCCATACCGCTGTGGCCCACAAGTAGTTGGTCTGCGTCATGAATCGTCACCCCATACGATCATGAGTGATTAACTTCCAAGCAGAGCGATTTTAGAAGTACGAACCCGATTGCTTTCTTCCACCTGCCCTTCCTGCGGACACGACAGGGCACGACCGGAGATCCGCACTCTAGCGCGAGCGCTGGCCATTGAGGACGGTGCGCAGCGGAAGGAGTTCCTGCAGCACGCGTTCCCCAAACTCGAGGAGCTGGACGAGTTTGTCAAGTTCGTGGAGGAAGGGATTGACTTCCTGGGGGATGATTTCGGTTTCGCGGTGCGGACGAACATGCCGCAGGAGCACTTCGACAAGATGAAGGCGATCTACGCTGAGGCCTCGGCCATGCGGAGGATGTACTTGCAGTGATTGATGGGGGTGGCGTGTTTTCATGGGGGACGCGTTTTGGATGGCTTGTTTTGAGACGGCGTGTTTGCAGGGAGTGATCTCCCTCCAAGCTCGATGAAATCGACTACTATGCAGCCAGTCGTTTTTATTCCATGGTCGAAGAATATTGGGGATCATTTCTATGCGAACGGTTGTAAGTGAGTTCGTAGGCGCGCGGCGTGTATCGTGATAATTGTTTGGGTACGCAAGACACCGGGAACAGGCGAAGGAGTTGCTAATGGCCAACAGGCGCAGGGGGTGGCACTCTCGTACGTATGTGTGCATGGTTTGTTAAAAAAATCGGTTGCGTAGCAACCGTAAAGGCAGGGGTCTCGTGTATTTTCCCTGCGAGCGCGAGACGATATCCCTGTGACAACAAAGAAGAGAGTGGTTGGAGAGCCAATATTAGCACGGGGCTGCACCGCTCACGCCCATGTCCTTTTGTTCCGTCCCTATACTCTCTGGAGGCTGTGCAACGTTGCGGATATGGCTATCCCTGCCCATTTTCACCGACGGAATGGAAGACGAGCCCAACAAAAGTAAGTCCGGCACCAAGAGAGGACCGGCATGTACCCTCCCGCAACAGAACACGAGAAAACTATACGACAACCCCATGTATCAGGAAGGCACTATCTCTTCTTTCCCGTCATCGCCGTCCTCTGCTTTAGGCTCCAAGACTTGGCTGAGCAGGTTCGCAGCCGCGGGAAGCACGCCGACCGTGTTGCCGTTCAGGACCATGCCGTCGAAAGCGACGCAGAAGTGCTGGGCCCGCTCGGTGTCCAAGACGGGCACCCGCGGATACCTCTGGGAGAAGTGGGTGAGCACGACCTCCCCCGCCCGCATGCGCCTCCCTACCTCCAGCGCCTCGGACGTGGTGCAGTGGAACTTGGACACGGCGTCCTGCTGCATCGAGTCGTCGAAGGTGGCTTCGTGGATAAGCAGAGCCGCCCCGGTCCCGGCCCTCACCAGGCGATCGCAGGGCCTCGTGTCTCCGCTGTACACCAGCTTCGCACCGTCCTCCCACAGCTGCACGACGAGGCCGTACGCCTCCCGGCAGTGGATGACCGACACCGACCGCATGCCGCTCAGCAACGCGGAAACCCCTCGCCTGCTGCCCCGTCTCCCACTGGGGCTGGGGCCGGCCCGGGTACCGCTGCCACCCCGCCAATGCCAAGCCCGCTCGAGGTCCTTGCAGCGCATCGCTTGGTACGATATGTCCTCTCCCGAAAACTCCTTGCACGCCTTCACGAATGTGAGCACGGCGCTGGGAGCGACCACCACCAGCGGGGCAGCTGCCTCCCGCGGCCCTCCCCCCGCCGGCCGAGAGGCTTGGCGCGCGCGGTGATGCTCCGCGATAAGGCGGAACAGCCCCGTGTGGTGGTCGGCGTGCTTGTGCGAAATCCACACGCAGTCGAGCCCCCGGATCTCTCGCAGCGCCCCTTCCCGCCCGAACTGTCGCTCGAAGTGCCCCAGGGTGCCCTCGCCGGCGTCTATCAGCAGGCGCAGCGGCGCGCCCTCCGCGGCCAAGCCATTGTGGCCAACCAGCCCAGCCTGCGGGATCCGAACCAAAATGCCGCTGCAGCCCCTGTTCTTCGTAGGTGCTGCGCTTCCCGTTCCGAGGAAAAAAACTTCGGCCCCGCCCAGCCCGCCGCCTGAGAACAATGGCGCCCGCTGCGGCGGCGGGGGCGGGGGCGGTGGCGGCGGCGGCGGCGGCGGCGGCGGCGGCGGCGGCGGTGGCGGCGGATGTGGTCCATGGGACGGGTGATGGGATGCCGGCAGTCTACTGCCGTTCCCTGTCCGTGCCCGCTTTCCGAGAGGACCACCGTTGCTGTACAACGGGGGCGGCGGCGGGGGAGGCGGCAGAAACGAAGAGAGTCGCGTTGGTTGCGTACCTGAGCCCGAGCCCGAGGCTCCCGGCTCGTTCCGCATCGTGGCGTCGGCGTCGTAGTCCTCCTCATCACCATCTTCCCCACCTAGATTCAGGCACTCGTTTGGCAGCCCGCTCTCCCTGGTCAGGCCGCTTGGTGGCCCGCTCTTCCTCATCAGCCCGTGCGCCCGCCAGAGCCTTGCCACAACTACATCCCTTTCGTCTCTCAGCCCTGCTTCCTCCACCCTCTGCTCCATGTCCTCCCATATCTCGGCAACCTCAACCGGAGGCCTTACGGCCGACAAGTTGATCCCGCGCGCGGCCACCGGCAGCAACATCGCCTTCGTCAGCGTGTGTCCGACTACGGTCCTTGATCCCCCGGTGCCTATCTCCTCGCAAGAGCTGACACTATCGGCGCCGTCGTGCCCCGCCGTATTTACCAGGGCGGAGTGCAGCGGGAACGCCTGCGGAGCGACGAAGTTCAGCTGGACAGACCTCTCCGCCAGCTTGCGGTGCTGCAGCCCGCCTGCTCCGCGCCTGCGCCCTTCGCGCCCACAGCCCAGAAGCACGTGGGTGCCCTTGAGGGCCAGCAGCGGGGCGTACGCCGCGCTGTCGACCACGTCCTCCGGGGACAAATGAAAAACGAACAGGACACTGCAAGCGTTTTCGAAACAGGTGAAGACGGAGGGTTGGGGGAAGGGGGGGGGGGGGGGGGGGGGGGATTC